GGGTGTAAGTGAAGCTTTTTGCTTCAAAGCTTTTCCTTCATGTTTCTTCTTACCCGCCTAAAGGAATCTGCAGGTGCTGTGATTCTTGCATGGCACTGTAACCGCATGAGGCAACCAATGTTGTCACACTGAGAGTTTCTATCATGGGAGGTTTACCCATCGCACAAACTGATAAATCCAGTTGCTGAGAAGCTGATTCATTTCCCAGAAAGACTGCAGGGATAGGACTTTGTACTAGTGTCATAGGTGCTGATGATCCAATGCCATTTTCAGCACCCTCTCATTGCAGATTATTATTTTTCCTCCCTCCCATTTTTGCAACACCCTACCCCAAGATTAGCCCCATCCTGTGCATGAATAGGTTCTGGATGCAGTATCCGTATCCACTGTTTGTACAGGTGACCTATTTCCTCCTCAACCTCTGGAAAAACCCCTGCATTCCTCCTGACCTTGGAGTCCCTATATTATCCCCACTGCCCATCTGAGCCACTCCAAGTGCCTTGGAAGCACAGTTCGACAAACACGGGCCCTCCTTTTGAACATGGAGCTGGAGAGGGGCTGAAGACGGCTCCAAACACTTCTTTGTGTATCAGAAGAGTTTCAGAGGGCCTCAGAATGACAGTGCCACTCTCTCACTCTCTTCCCCCAGCTCCGAAATCAAGAGGACCACTTCCTGCTGCACTTCCAAGGCACCCCATGTACAGTGGACCTTCTAGTTATGTACCGCTCTGGATACATAACTTCCAGGTTATGAACGTGGCATTTTTGCCATGCGCACATGCACAGAAGCGCTCTGCCTACAGACTCTTTGGGTTGCGGACGGACCCCCAGAACGAATTTAATTCATATCCGGAGGGTCCACTGTACAATGTCCCCATCCTCGCCATATTTCCAAGCTTGAGAGATAAGCAAGATATTATTACACTGAATTTCAGGGGTGCAAAACATGATGAGGTACAACACTTCCATTGAGAAGATGCACAGAGCCCTGGCACCACAAATTTCTTCTTCGTTACCAACAGGCAACCCTGTTTAGGGATGTTTTTAATGTTTGATGTTTTATTGTGTTTTTAATATTCTGTTTGGAGCCACCCAGAGTGGCTGGTGAAACGCAGCCAGATGGGCAGAGTATTAATAATAATAATAATAATAATAATAATAATAATAATAATAAGTGTGGCACCATCTGTATATGCATCTATTGTGCCACGCATTAGTGGCAGTAAATCATACCTTTGCTTGCACAAGTCACACCCATCCACTTACAAACTATCTATACTGTCAGTGCTGCTAAGCAGGAGAAAAACCACCTGGCACAGTATATGCTAGTAAAACCTGTCCTCTTGCATCCCTGTGGGCCTCTGCCATTCAGATATTATTTATGACCCTGCATTGCCTCACAAAGCCAAGTTAGCTAGTCATTTCTTAATGTGGGCTATGATGCCCTTAAAGGAATTCCAGCAAAATTACATTTGAAGCACTAACTTTGCTTAACTCATGCACCTTCACACCTGAAGCATGCATAAATAGGTTCTGGAAGCAGTATCGATTTCCTCAGTTCCTTTTGACAGTCCAGAGTTGCATACACAATGATTACACCCAGCACTAATGACAGTAAATTACACATATACCTTTTATTTATTTACTACGCTTATATCCTGTTCTTTCTCCCAAAGAATCCCAGGGCAATGAGCAATGATAAAATAAAATAAAAAACATTTTCAAAACATTTCTAATACATATTTTATATTCACTCATTCACACCCAGATCCATATCTTCCCATTTCCTGATGGCCTAATTTAGAAATAATAATAATAATTTTTATTTATACCCCGCCCTCCCCAGCCAAGACCGGGCTCAGGGCAGCTAACAACCAACAATAAAAACAAGTTGATTAAAATACAATTTTAAAAACAACATTAAAATACAAGATTAAAACATTAAGATGCAGCCTCTTCACAGGAGGAAAAAGGAAAAAGAAAGAGGGGGAGGGAATCAAACTGATTCTAAGCCAAAGGCCAGGTGGAATAACTCTGTCTTACAGGCTCTGCAGAAAGAAATCAGATCCCGCAGGGCCCTAATCTCATGAGACAGAGCGTTCCACCAGGCTGGAGCCAGTGTTGAAAAGGCCCTGGCTCTGGTTGAGGCTAATCTAACTTCCTTAGGGCCCAGGACCTCTAGGGTGTTGCTATTTATGGACCTTAAGGTCCTCCGTGGGGCATACCAGGAGAGGCGGTCCCGTAGGTACAAGGGTACTTCCATTTCCTCTTCTTCCATTATTTTTTCAATAGTGTTGTCAGCGCTTGGCAGCTATTTCCTCTAAATTCATTCCAAATTGTACACAGTCCTTTCTTTCTCAACTCTGTCTCTGCCAACTCAGAATATTTCTTAATCTATTGGTCTGTGATTTCATTCCACTCCTCCATCACCATAACTCCACCATTTGGCTTCATTCCTCCAGGTACCTGTATGGAGGTCCTCTCCATTTCATCATCTACTGTCTCCAACTTTACCATTCCACTCTCCTGTTCTGGCAATCCTTCATCAATGCTGTCTTCCAAAGGCTCTATGTCTTCTTTAGCCTCAGCTTTGTCTAGTTCATTTTTATTCACCATTTTATACATCTCAGCTCTCAGCTCTTTCAGCTGCTCATCCTGTAGTTACTGCACGATGCCAACAGTCAGTGGGGGTGTTCAACAGTATTTTTGCCATACTGAGTGCCTGAACCCAGACTGAAATGGGTCAAGGTAATCTGTTTCATCCAAGAGTATTTGCAGTTGTGCCACAACCCTCTCAATCACCTTCCCTAAAGAGGTCCAGGTCCAGGATGGACTTTTTCAGGAGTAATTGGACCACTACCTCTTTCAGGATGGTTGATCATCCCCAGATCCACTCAGTCATACCCCGCACAGTAAGCCAAGAGGAACAAGGGTCCAAGAGGCGCATTATTGCAAAAACTTTAAATCTCTAACTGCATTATAAAATAACAGCAACAATAACATCACGTCAGTTGACATGGTTTAACAAGACATTACCCAGCTATCCTTCATTGGTTAAAATGAGGTTCTAAGCAGCTGCATGTCAAAGGAAATCAGGTCAGCAAAGCAGTGCCATGGGAGGAAGTGTTTAGCCATTTTCCCAGTCTAATTCCTCCTCAAAACTGTTATTTGCCTGGTGGAGAAAGATATGCAGGTACCATGGTACAATCTAAACTGGATGCTCTTTCATTTCTGAGCTATTTCTGTGCCAGAATTCCTCTGGAAAATAACTGCCTGCAAGATGGAGTTGTTCCGCCAGGCCTTTGGTCAGGGCTCACCCTGACTCCCCTTTTCTTTTCGTATAAAAACTTATATGAAAGAGGCCTCCCAGCATTCTCACAGGCCCATAAAAGATCAGCATAAACAGTTGGGCCAATGAGCACTTACAACCCTAACCCTGCGGAAAGCCATCTAATTAGACTTCAATTTGATTTGGACCTGTTTTAGGAGGTAATTTAATTATTGTTTGATTTTATACTAATGTTATCTATCTGATGTTAGCCACCCTGAGCCTGAGTTCGGCCGGGGAGGGCAGGATATAAATAAAAGATGATGATGATGATGATGATGATGATGATGTGTGGTTTCACTCCAGTCTCTCCTGGTGATCAATCTGCCTTTACTATCAGGGTGGAAGGATGGATAAATGACAGGTAGAAGTGGTGATAGGCAGATCACAAGAGGGTGGACACGTAACAAAAACATTACAGGTACAGAGTCTTCATCTAACATTGCAAGCTGTTATTACTACAAAGGTGAAAGCTCTCCAGTACCAAAGATTTTTAAATGATTATGATTTAATTCTTTAATTTATACTGCCATCTTGTGTTCACCAAATGAAAGCCCAGTTGCAAGACTTGCAGTTCCATGTACGGCGTCATCCACACTCACCTTTTGCCCTTCGCTTTCCAGGCACAGGTCTACACTTTAAAGCACTGCGTCCAAGCACTTTTTATTTGCCCCAGCGAAATCCCACTATTTAACACTGAATCGGAACAAATGATAATTCGGATTTTCCATGGATTGCTGTTTGTGCCTGTTCAGAGGTAAAGAGCAATTTTACAGGGCACTTTAAAGCACGTTCCTAGAAACACGGCACAAAAGGAAGTCTGGATGAACCCTAAGCCAGGGGTGGGGAACCTGCGGCCCTCCAGACATCGTTGGACTCCAAATCCCACCAGCCACAACCAGCAAAGGCAATAGTCAGGGATGATGGGAGTTGTAGTACATCAAAGCCTCAATGGTCTAAAGTTTTCCATGCTTGATGTAAATACAGTGGTACCTCGGGTTAAGAACTTAATTCGTTCCAGAGGTCCATTCTTAACCTGAAACTGTTGTTAACCTGAAGCACCACTTTAGCTAATGGGGCCTCTCGCTGCCGCAGCACTGCCAGAGCACGATTTCTGTTCTCATCCTGAAGCAAAGTTCTTAACCCGAGGTACTATTTCTGGGTTAGCGGAGTCTGTAACCTGAAGCGTCTGTAACCTGAAGTGTATGTAACCTGAGGTACCACTGTAATTGGAATACAATATGTTAAGCAAAAACAGTGCAATGACACTGAAAATGTTGTCATTGCAGGAAATTATATAGGCTGCTCCAGCTGACAATCCCTCTTTCTGTGCTGGAGGAACCGACTTCCCCATGCCCTTCACTTAAGGAGAAGCAGACACTTCATCCAAAGACAAGCACATATGCATGGGTGCCCAATGTCCCAAAGTTCAGAATAAGAATAATGAAGCAATTTTAATTTTCTTGCTGTTGTTATTTTAATTTCTTGCCCACCCTGAGATCTCCAGGGCAGATTACAACAATTTGTAATACAATATTAAAAGCAGTTTAAAACTGCTTACAATCACAGAATTAGGGCGGGTCCTGATAATATACATCTCAAAGTGTGAAAGGCCATGGTTCACCTTTCACTGAAAATGGGGACTGAATTGGAAAATCCCACCTGATTTGATTCATGTTGATTGCAGTTGTTTTTGTTTCCTGCTGGCTTTTCTCCTTTCTACTGCTGTCTGCAGAGCTTGCAAAATCAGTTCCCTGTTATTTTGAATGTTATAGTCACTCAGGTTTATAAGTTTGTTGAATTCCTCCTCGGTGTAAGTCAAACTTGTCATTCTGTATGGTGAGTTTAAACTAGTAAAATCCACCTCTCCCTTAGCCGTGTCTGCAGAAGTTCGCCTAATTCCTGCACAAAGGTTGCCAAAAACGGATAGTATGGGGGGGGGGGGAGAGGAAGAGATTGGGTTAACACTGTGTCTGTAAAATAGTATACCTCTGTGACGAGGATGCCCAAATTCTGTATTGTTGAGAGTCACTCTATTCTCCAGATAGCTGTCTGTCTATAACAGAACACAACCTGGAGGCTATTACATATAATATATTCAGCACAATCTAGCAATAAAAACTTTGCAGTCACAGAGCACAAGTTGGCCATATTTTGGTCATTCCAAATGCATGACCAAACATGGACTCTCTCTCATGGATGCACACAAAAACATGTTTTTCTCTCTTGGTTGCCATTTCATCAGAGAGGTGGGGTGAAGGATAAAATAGTTTAATGGGCTATATGTGCTTTTGGGTTGTCAGTGACTTTATTTATAACAGCAGCAGTGCAATCTATGCATGTTTACTTGGAATTAAGTCTCCCTATAATCCTGTACACACTTACCCAGGCTGTAACACTCTACACACTTACCACAGAGTAAGCCCTATTGAACTCAGTGGGGCTTACTTCTGAGTAGACATGCATAGGATTGTGATGCAAGGCTTGCAGCACATCTTACAGGACTAATCGTTACATGTTTGCACACTGTGGCACATAACCTAATGTATTCTCTTTTTTACATGTGAGAGCCCAGCTTGTTATTTTATTGACTGTCTGATCACACAGTTCAAAATTGACAGACCTGTTTCTTATATATGCTACCTGAAGGTAGATTTGAAAAGGACTACGTGCCAAACAAAAAAGGGACTATAGAATGTTCCCACTTGTAGAGCTATGGTTTAAGTCTGACATGTGAAAAGGCACTGGCTGCAATCTAACAGAATGTTTTTAGCATGCTGAACCCCATGGACTTCTGTAGCCTTAAGTATACTTAAATTCTCTGTTTGGGCTATCAAATTCTTCCATTTAAAGACCAGTATATTTGTCCTTCTCTTTTCCCTGTTTGTAATATAACAATGGAGACAAGCTGCTAACACTCTGACTTGAAAACAGTTATTGTGGCAAGAATCCTCAAGGAAAAGCTGGGGGAACATCAGAGAGGGAAAGGATTGCTTGAAGCTCTTGTGTGGTATTGACAGGTACAGGCCTTGTGGGAGGCAGTGATGAATGTCCTGTCCTTTGGAAATACTGTTCCTACACCACTTAGCAAGAGGGCCTGGGTAGCTCATTTGGTTGGAGCATGGTGCTAACAATGACAAGGTTGAAGGTTTGATCCCCATATGGGACAGCTGCATATTAATCCCTGCATTGTGGGGGGTTGGACTAGATGATCCTCAGGGTCCCTTCCAACTCTACAATTTTATGGTTAGGCAGTGGCTTCTTTGCTACTTGGTCCCCAGTCTCATAGAACGTGACTGAAAAGTTCAATACTAACCAGGTTTTTTATACTCCCTAAAAGAGTTGTTCACTAGTGGGAAGTGAAGTATGATTGGAGCTTCTGGGTTCTCTTTGTCCTCAAAAATGTAGCATTCCTTTGGATTCTCCCTGTCTTCTTCAGTCAGTGCAATTTCAGGAAAAGGAATATCCTGGTCCAAACAGTAGTTGCCCATCTGTTCTATAGACTGCAGAACAAAGAGGAAAACTAGAGTTTAAATAGCAAAACTAAGGCCATTTTCCCCCCAACAGTCCTCATCTACTATTGTCAAACCTAACTAAAGCTATAGAGGAGAAAGCGACTGCTTTGCTGTTCAGGTAAATTTAGTCATTTAGAGAGAACAAAATGCAGGAAGAAAAACAGACCATTTCCCCCCTTCTCAGTCAGGTACATCTAGGAATCCATGGTGCTGACATGAACTCCCTATGGATGGATGCACATTATATAGGTGCTTATATGTTGTAGGTCATTGGCAGAGGATCTGCTTTGCATGCAGATCCCAGATTCCATCCTTGACGTCCCTGGGTAGGGCTGGGGAAGATCCCAGTCTGAAAGTCAGTGAAGACAATATTGAGCTAGATCAGAGGTCAGCAAACTTTTTCAGCAGGGGGCCGGTCCACTGTCCCTCAGACCTTGTGGGGGGCCAGACTATATTTTGGGGGGAAATGAATGAATTCCTATGCCCCACAAATAACCCAGAGATGCATTTTAAATAAAAGCACACATTCTACTCATGTAAAAACATGCTGATTCCCGGTCCGTCCACAGGCCGGATTTATAAGGCGATTGGGCCGGATCTGGCCCCCGGGCCTTAGTCTGCCTACCTATGAGCTAGATGAACCAATGGCCTGACTCAGTATAAGGCAGCTTCCTATGTTTAAACGCAGAAACTGGTTTCATGCAACTCGCATCACCATATACAGAATGAAACTCACTTTATAATTGGATCACAGGAAGACTTCCATGTTTAACTTGGGAGCTACTCTACAGCATGCTTAGCTTAATATTTAATCTAACCCTCTTAGGCTAGCATACAGGAATAAGGATTTCTTTATGAACAATTTGTATGCCCCAAAACATTCTCTAGTCCAAAGATAAAATAAGAATAATCTTACATTAAACCTGGTCTCCAACAGGTTGTAGTCGAGTGATAAGATAACATCCACATTCCTTTCCTTTCTTATCAATGGAGGGCAACTGGTATTGATGAAATATCCAGCATCAACCAAGAATAGCTCTTTTTCCTGAGGCGTAAGAGAGTTGGGGCACTGGTCCAATTTACTGTCTGCAAGGCAAGTATTTCTTGCTATTGTGATCATACAGGACATGCTTATCTAATATACACCAATGAAATACTGAAAAAACAAAACTTATGTTCGTTTTTGATGGGCTGCTTTATGTCTTGTTAGTCTTAGCATTAATCAGAAAACAAGCACCTTCAGCGGTCTATCCAAACTAAACTGTACTGCGTACTGTGTCAAGGCTTTATTTGACTGATTAATCACTAGTACTAATGCTGAGAAAACAAGTACCGTATTTCATCTAGCATGACTGTATTTGTACATAATTTGGTTGTAAGTTACCGGTACTTTGGGTTCTCTTGGGCAAGATAAAGAAACTAAGAAATTTAATAAGTATAATACATACATACATACATACATACATACATACGTTTCCTACAAGGATATTGTAGCAAGGTGGTGACTTACATGACAAAACCTGGTGAACATTTATAGTGCAGGAAGGGTTTGGCTGGGTTCCTCCCAATTTCATGTGCTGATTTATTTACCTTGCCACATGGAGAATGTTTCATGTTGGTAATAGTCCTTGTGTAGCTGGAGACCTCTCAGAAAGTTAGGTTTCTTTTCTCCTATTGGCCGACTGGTCAGAATTCCATTGAAGATGCTGGATCTGTTCATTGGTGGAATGAAACAAGCTGTGTGACATGGAGAGAGCTGATTTATAGAAGCCCTGTTGCCTTTATCTTGAAGAAACAGCAAAAAGCACATACTATGAGAAATTCTAAATTCTGATGCTCAAAAACTAACAACAACACTATGTGCACTAGCTGTTTACTGGTCAAAGTAGTCATTTGTGAGGTTTGGACATCTTTTATGTGCAATCAAACCTCCCTTCTTTATGCTGCCACACAGAACCTGGGCAGATGGCATAGCTTCTGAAGAAGGCGGATTCTGAGCTTTAAAATAAATAAATAAATAAATAAATAAATGGTTAGAATAGAAATTATGGTTCTGATCTACTCTTACATCCAATCCAGATAGTCCATTTGTTTGCACTCAATGTATTTCACACTTGCAGCAATGCTTTGTGCATTAGATGTGACATGCACACCTGCACAATCACACTAACACACACATTTCTATGGATTGCAGCCAAAGACTTTAAATGTAATCAAAACCATTTAAAGTAGCATGTGCTTTCCTAGTAAGTCAGGCAGAGAAATCAGGTATATGTGTGAAAAACAACCCCACAGAGATGGATGGGTAAAACTCACAAATTAGCTACAATGTTCAGATTATGATCATCTGCTTTGCAGATTCTCTGCTGTATCTGCACAGTGATGCATTTTATTCTTCAGTTCCTTCTCTGTTGAAAAAATGCCACTGAACTAACAGAAATTACCCAGGCCACTTCTTACCTTCATCCTTTTCTTGGTCTGGGAAAGGCCACTGCCAGGATTTGTATAAGTGGTGAACATCCTTCAAATTCAAGGAAAATATGTTACTCCAAATGCCTGTAAATGTAAACATATTCAAAATGAAGACTTTCAGCACCTCTCTTTGTCATTCTCAATCCCTAAGAACTCACCTGGTTATCTGGAGGCTAATTAAAGAAGCATGGATCAGCCCTGCTTGTTTCTCAGTTCCTGCTTGTTTCTCAGTTTCTGTGAAGTAGGTTGATGTATTTAAATTCGAATCTTACTACAGCCCCAGAAATCCCTACATCTGTGTGAGCTTTGGACATGAAAATGAGAGCAGATCTGGCAGCCCTGTTCTCTCCCCATTCCCCATCATTTTACTGGCACTATTTCTTAGATATGTGATTGCCAAAATGAGCAGTACCACACACTGGGGGGCAGTGGGGTTACCTAGGGTGTCAATAAGAGGCAAGGGAGTGGCAGAGGTGTACATGACTATCAGACTTTGAAAAGTTGGTATCACTGGATGAGTTTCATCAATTTTGTTGAATTAATTAAGCTAAGTAGTTTTAGTTGGATTTTGAATAAATGTGTAATTTTTTGTTACTGTTTTGAATTTTGTTGTTTGGTAATCTTCCTTAGTGGATCATGCAAACTGCTATTTTGAATAATGCTTTTTAAAGCATAGGGGGCACTGGGGATGTATTTATGGAACGAAGGGGTTTGCAACCCCCAAACATTTGGAAACCTCTGACTTAGATGGTGCTGAGCTGATATGAAATGAGAGATTTGGATTAGTTAGGTGATAGTATCTTGGTGGACCTTTGCCTTCAGCTGTTACCTACTTTGTGCTTTCAAGATAGGAGTTATAAGTCTAATAAAAAGCGAACAGGCCTGCAATGTGCAGGATTATTTGGTGGAAGGTTTTTGCTACAATTTCAACAGGCCACTACTTCCTACATGTTCTTTCCACACTTGTCCTTTTTGGTGCAGCTAAGGCTTTGCTACTCTGCAATCAGCTGGAAGCAGCATTTAGCTGAGAAATTAAGGGACTGAACTTCCAAAGGATCAGTTTTTGAAAGGCTGACTTAAAGGGTTTTCTGCATCACTTGTAAGTTGGACTAGATGGGTTTTGAGAACTCTTACAATGCTATGATTCTGTGGAACTTTGCAGCAGCTAATCTGGAGGTCTCCTGCTTCATTTAGAGCAGAGCTTTCCAAACTTTTCATATTGGTGACACACTTTTTAGACATGCATCATTTCATGACACATTCAATTTTACTAGAAAGCCAGAGGTTAAACTAATCCCCTTCCAGCTCTGGGAAGAGCATGGGGAGCATTTGTGCAACACACCTACACACTGCAGCCAACACACAAACGTGTTGCAACACACAGTTTGGAAAGCTCTGATTTAGAGGATGGTTCAGGCAGGCAGCTGTGTTGCAGAGGCAGCCCATTAACTAGCAGGAAAAAAATGAAGAAACATCTACTGTCAGATATAGACCCTGTCGAGGATGGAGAGCAGGAGGAAGCAGGGCTCTCTCTATGTGTGCTGTGTGTGTGTGTGTGTGTGTGATTGTCCAACATAGTTAGATAGACATGGAAGGAGAATACAGGGGAGGGTCTGAGCTGTTTTTTCTTCTTGCATGTTTTAGAATTTCCCACATCTACAGCACTGTATCAGCTCAATGCTCAAGAGAGAGTTACAGATTTTTGATAACAAGCTACACTTACTATGGTAATACTAATATTGAATTTGGCAAGATTGGGACTCAGTTTGGCAATTTTTCTCACCAAAAGATAACTTTCCTCAAATCAAAATTAAGTCACCTTCCAAATAGCAGATCCGAGACTCTGGTCTCTTGTTTATTAGTCGTCCCATGAAGAAATCACTTCCAAAATCCTCTGGGCAAATGAAGGCCCCGTACTTAGAAAATCCAACCTCATATGGGGAGAATTCACACCATTCTATAAGCAGAATGAGAGAAGAGAAGTGGAGAAAAATATACCCCAATGCCTAAAATCAGGAGGAAGTTTGAGAGGAGAATGATGAAGACAGAATTGCTCTCTTTGGGTGAAATTCAGGAAAGGTTTGTACAGAGCAGAACCATTGAAATGAATGGACCTAACTTAGTCACATTCATTCATTTCAGTGGGCCTACTTTGAGTAAGTCTTCATTTTGGCTGCTGTTCTGAACTACTTACACACTGAAGCCCCCTGACATGGTTTCAAGATTGTTGAGTTGCTTACCTTTAAATTCACAAGTGCTCTGGGTGTCCTTCTTGACATTGAGGGCCAGGTAGATAGGCAATGGATTCTGCCCCTGAGTCACAGCCTGTTGCTGACTAGAAAGTTTGCTATCACTTTGCTAAGAGGAAATGATGCAATGAAACACAAAGAAAACAAGAAGAAATTCAAAGGCAGAAAATAAATTATGAAGCAACAGATGCTTCCAAACCAAGCAGCAGACGGCATGGTTGGGTTGTGGCTCTCACCTGACCTCTGTTGAGTCATGTTGCGGCTGCTTACCGAGCGGTAAAGAGGGAGCGGCCAGGTGGTGGCAAGGTCAACATAGTGCAAATACACTGGCAGGAGTGGTGGATTGGCTCCACTGGTGCATTTGCATCTCGGCAACCACCATAACAACAGCCCCGCTGGATCGGGTCAATGGCCCATCTAGTCCAGCATCCTGTTCTCACAGTGGCCAACCAGATGCCTCTGAGAAACCCACAAGCAGAACCCAAGCACAAGCGCACTCTCCGCTCCTCTGGTTTCTAGCATCTGGTATTCAAAAGCATACTGCCTCTGACCGGGAGCACAGCCTCCTCACCCTCTAGTTCCCAGTAAGCAACAACAACACAATTGACTGGAGGTCAGGTGAGTGCTGCCACCTCACCAGGCCATCTGCTACTGCCCAAGAGCTAGAATGACCGCTCCCTGCATTAACTGGGGGACTGCTTTTGCATGGTCACACGCAGCCCAGCCAGGGACAACTAGACCCCCAGCAAGGTAGTTGGCTGTGCTGCCCCCCCAGCTGGATACCTAGAGGTTCCCACCTAGCCCTGTCAATCAGCCAATCCTGGCTGGGGGGGCGTGTTGCCAAGGGAATTGGCCAGGTAGAGTTAGGACCGCCCACACTCACAATAGAGGGTGTAACTTACCTGTTGGTCCTGTCGGCTCCTGAACTTCCCCACCCTGCCCTCCCTCAATTTATGCCTTCTTTCGCAGTTTAACCTTCTTCTTTACAGCTATGCAGGCACTGCTGCGGTCCTAGATGGTCGCCATTGAGGGACCGGGAAGGAATGTCCCTGCATTGGCAGGTTTCACCTTCGCCATAGCAAAACGTCACAACTTTGGCGGTTTGTAGGCCTTGGGTGGAATCCTTTAGTCTATCTTCCCTCAATGGGGGGGGTGAAGCGGTGACCCCCCCCTGCAGTGGCGATCCCAGGGTTCCCATTAAAGGGGTTATTTTGAGGGGAGGCACTGGCCATACACCAATGGGTTGTCAGTGCTCTCTGCTACGCGCTGAAATGGGGGACAGGCTCTCTGCTTGAACAGACGTTCTCCAGAGTCAGCCCAATCCCCCCACACTTTGGATAACCCTGATGTTCCCCAGATCCCCGGTTGGGGACTGGGAGGGATAAATGCCCAATGCCTAAGCCAAGGTCTTCCTACATCTGAGAATTTAATAAAGGTGACCAATTTCAATCCCATAACACGTTGTCAGGTGTCATTATACCTCCTGGGGGTTGCCTGGGCCTTGGGGGGTCTCCGTCTGTCTAAGCAATGTCTGGAAGGAAAGATGAAGACACTTAACATCCTTAGGGTAAGAGGGTCTTTGGAACACATACCTCGTCATGGAACATGCGGTCAATTATAAGGGACCATACATCAGTAAAATAAACCGAGTGCCCCTCTCGAGCTCTCTGCCTTAGCTCCACATCATAGCGCTGTAGGGCCTCCAAGGAGAAAGCACTTGACTTGCTCCTAGCAATATATTCCTGTGCTCTGTGGATTGGACCCATCAGGTCCTTTTGAGACCAGTCAGCATCTTCATACAAACTTCTCATTGTCCTACAGAAAAAATAACACCTTCAGAACAGGGCAACACTATAATTTAAACTGCCTTGTAAATTACACTCACAAAATCTACCCTCATATGTATAGGGCCCAAAAGTATATTGTAGATTACATGAATGTAGATTACATGTTCGATTTGGAAGGGATGCTTTAAAAAGAAACCGGGGGAGGGCCTAGTCAGGTTTTAGACTATGGCACACAGGGAGAGGGATGAACGCTTTCCCCAACCCTGCACCATGGTGCCTAATACAGTCGTACCTTGGTTCTCAAACGCCTTGATACTCGGATGTTTTGGCTCCTGAATGCCGCAAACCTGGAAGTGAGTGTTCCACTTTGCAAACTTTTTTGGAAGCCGAACATCTGATGAGGCTTCTGCGGCTTCTGATTGAGTGCAGGAAGCTCCTGCAGCCAATCGGAATCCACAGCTTGCTTTTTGAACTGTTTCAGGAGTCGAACAGACTCCCAGAATGGATTAAGTTCGAGAACCAAGGTACCACTGTACTGTACAATTGTTTCTCTCCCTGAAGCTGACATTTGCCATCGGACAGAAGTTGTTATTGAAGCTACTGTTGGCGATAAATATTTTTTTTAAAACCCTTCCACATGTGCAGCAACCTCAAATCTGACCAGGCCTCTCCAGCAGCTGCTATTTTTCACAATGCTAATTCACATTACCATGTTGCGCCAGATGCTCCAGAGAGGTATGTCACGCAGTCTAGAAGATTCAGCTTCTGAAGGGCAGAGAGGTGTCCATAAAAAGCTGACATTGCTCTGGCTCCTCCTCCTGTTGCCATGACAGCTATCACTGGGACCTGTGGCACAAACAGGATGGAGTAAACAGGAAATACCAGTAACTGTGCCTAACTTGTTCGGGATTACCAGTCAAATATCTAAATATTAGTAAGTCTAGGGGTAAGCGACCACAGAGCTGTATTGCTAGATAGGCAGGTCCATATCATAGGAATATACAGTCATACCTCGGGTTATAGATGCTTCAGGTTGAGCGTTTTCGGGATACAGAAGCGCCGAAACCCGGAAGTACCGGAACAGGTTACTTCCGGGTTTTGGTGCTTTGCACATGCGCAGAAGCACCGAATTGCAACCTGCGTGTGCGCAGACACGGCGCTGCAGGCTGTGGACGCTGCGGGTTGCAAACGTGCCTCCCACACGGATCACATTCGCAACCCGAGCGTCCACTGTAAATGGTGCAGAGAGAGCTCTGTGTGATGTCATTTCCCCTGTTTCCTGCGATGGGATGAAAAATAGATTTTTAATTCTTTCTCCTTCCTACAGCCTCTCTCTCACTCCTTTCCTCACCTTCGATGCAGATGCATGTCTGTGTGCGCTAATCAACCATGTATTTTGAAACCTAGAAGAATTTTGTCCTGCATAGCTTTCCTACTATCGTTGCCGTGGTCCAGTGCAAGACTGTTAAGCTTACTTTGTAAGCTGTTTGTTGCCTGACTCTTTTATAGAGAGGGAAACCAAGGGGAATTGCTCAGAAAAGGAAAGGCCCCTCAACCTAGTTCCAAAGCTTCTATTTTCATTATGAAGGATGGGATTTTAATGCTCTGCTTAACCCACACACGTGGCAAACTGGAGATATAAATTGTAATTAATATTTTCTCTCTTAGCCATCCCACATAACCTGTATCCAATGTCAGTAGGCCATAACACTTTCTTTCCAGGGGGTGGAGGGGGAGAGAGAATACCAGTTCAAAGAATAAAAGGTATTTATTACAAAAAGCACACATTTGAAGCTTACTCTTTTTTTCTCCTCAGGGGATGTCTATCAGAGAAAATGCATTTAAGAGCGTCTGCTTTTCTGTGGGTCCTCTTATCTGTTGACTCTATTTTCCTTCAACAATGTGTTGCTACAGTTGATTTCTCTCAACAAAGCAGCTTCTCTGCAATACCCACACTAAATAAACTGCTATTTATATATTTTTGCACTAACATGAGTAGCTTTGGGTCACAAAATGAAGCACATGTACCTCATGTCCTTGCAGCTCCTGCTCCAGCAGAAGAACCTTTTTTAGAGCACTGGCAACCACATTCTTGCGCTTAGACAGGAAGTCCTGCTCAGCCCCACAGAGATCACATCCCAAACGCACATCTAAATCTCCTAAACTGGAATAAAAAGAAAGAAATGCACCTCCCTTTGTCACCTGACATATGGAGGTAGAAAGCAGTGCTGTGCAGCTATGTAATTTGAAACTGAGAACTTTGTGCAGTAGATTTTTTTGTGTGTTTTATCATTGTTGTGAGATTTTAAAACATGAAGGTGGCCTGGTACTCAGACAAGGACTAAAATGTGCCAAAAATGAAGGTAAGAAAGGAACAGACTCTGCATCTCTCATTACCATCATTGCTATGCTATAACATTGGATAGTCTCTGGCGGATGTAGAAGGATATGATATGAATAGTATTTGTTCCAACTAATTATTGGGCTTTCTTAAAGTGAAGTGCATGAGTATGTGATTTGCTGGACTGAGCTGGAAGTTTTTACCACTATACAGAGCCAAGCTGAACAGACAAGAATTTCTTATTTGATTTGATTTTAATATAATAATAAATAATAATTTCTCACCAGTCATTGACCTGGAGCTGCAACTCCAATTCTGCATCCTGAAAATGAAGAAGTTGAGTTTACCTATGTTAAGGTGCTAAGCAAATGCACTGTGTAATGTTCATAAATATAACACCGTAGATTGTTTATTACCAATCCCAGGGTTTCATTTTCATAAACATTTCCAAGCATGGCACTTGTGGGTCTCTTAAGAGCAGTGGAAGAGGCATACACCATCCCAAAATCTAGGTAACTGAAAGATTATTTCTTAGCCACTAGACTGTTTTCTGTTTATAAAAGTTCTGGATATGGAACACAAAGTAGAGCTTTGACAAGGGCAAAAACATTCAAACTTAGTAATCTAAAATACAAACAATTAAATCCTGATATGGACACAAGGATAACATTCTTTGAAAGGAACAATGAATTTACAAATCCCCTGTTAAATTTCAGAACTAATGTGTGGTTTTATTGGCAAAGAACTACTTCCTTCTTCTCTTCTGTGCCAAGAAATTACTTCTATCACACTTGAAACTCGACAGGACAGCTCAGTTGGTAGATTATGAAACTCTTAAACTCAGGGTCGTGGGTTGGGCAAAAGATTTCTGCATTGCAGAGGGTTGAATTAGAGGACTGCTCTGGTCTCTTCCAACTCTACAATTAAATGATTCTATGAAAAAGATGAAGCCACATACCTTTGATAAAGGCAAGGCTACTTTTGTTTCCTCTCCTGCAGGGAGGGATTTCAGCAACACACTTGGACAATCAGTAGTAGCATCTCCAAGCCATTTCCCCACAAAGGAATTACCCTAAAACGAATCACAAGAATGTAGACACACTCTAGCACACATCGCAAAGGAAGCAAAATGAGACACATTTGAGGCTCTAGATACTGACTGATTTCAACACTGCTGCCTGTTCTACATATGAATCCCTCACTGTTTGGCCCTTACTATATGGGAGAACAGGAAAAGCACACTCTGCCAGCAAGGACATTAAAAAAATGTTTTTATTAAAAGATATTCATGTATAACAAAGGTACTGTACATATAACATCTCTATTTCAATTCATAGAGTCCTTTCTACAGGTCAATTACATTCTGTGTGAAACACTGCTGTCATGGGCATTGTGAGGTTGTGGGGAGAGAGAAGTGGGGAGAGAGAGGAGGATGAGAGAAGGGGGGGATAATGATATTTAATTCTTTTGCATAGTGTATGCAGAGTTTTTGTGTCAGCATTATGTGGATAGATTCTTTATTTATTAAAGCACACCAAGGGTCCAATTTCTCAGCAAGCTACTCTGTAATGGTCCTTTAGTGCATTAGTTAATCTGCCCCTGCAGGTACACTGAGGAAAGCTGTCCTTGGTAAGCAAAGTGTTACCTTCGTACTGGCCTCCAGTTTTGGCTCCCAGTTCTTCACACAGTGAAATGTGAAGCTTTCTGACTCCTGGGTGATCGCCTGTGCTTCTTCAAAGGATTCCTTCACCACAAGTTCAATATTTTTATTGTCTAGGAGAAAGAATTATTTTAGTTAAAATATTTCTTTACCTCCCTTCTTCAGTGCAAACGTGTACTAAAGAATATACAGTACAAAGGTGTACTGAAGATATACAGTACTACTTTACTGTATATCCTTTCCCCCATGGAGCTCAAAGCAGTGTACATGGTTTGTCCCTGCCTGCAACCTCAATTTATCCTCACAACAAGACAGAGATAATTAATGGCCCAAGTTCTTGGTCTCCTAGGTCCTTGTTCAACACTCTTAACTGCTATACCACACTGGCTTTCATATGAAAATAATTTTAAACAATGCAACAAAATGGTACAAGACAGGCTGAAAACAAATGGTGGAATTCACTGTCATGCTCTTCTAGTCATTTTGTTTTTGAACAAGTGTTCCTGCTTGACAGACAGACAAACTGATACCCTCTGTCCTCCCTACACACACACACAGAGAGAGAGAGAGAGAGACAGTTGACCATCCCACTTTTACTGTACTTTGCAGTTGCGTGCACCATGTCATGGCATTACAGTGGTACCTTGGGTTACATACGCTTCGGGTTACATATGCTTCAGGTTACAGACTCCGCTAACTCAGAAATAGTACCTCGGGTTAAGAACTTTGCTTCAGGATGAGAACAGAAATCGTGCTGCGGCGGCGCGGCGGCAGCAAGAGGCCCTATTAGCTAAAGTGGTGCTTCAGGTTAAGAACAGTTTCAGGTTAAGAATGGACCTCCGGAATAAATTAAGTACTTACCCCAAGATACCACTGTATAAGCAAGAGAGATACAGCAGCAATTGCATTTACGAAAACTACCAGTACAGTTACGCCTTACAATTGAAAAGAGGCTTCAGTGGAGATCGCTCTTTGGTTGTCTACTTAACAAATTCACAAGAATGGGACTCACTTTTCAAACACTCCTCATTCTTCCACTTGTCCATCTTAATGTCTAAACGTGAAACCTCACGGGCCTGGGAAGAAAACATAACAATCATAGAAGGTTGAATTCACTAAGCCTGCTGTAGTCTGAAACAGAGGGGTGGAATCTACACACATATAAAATAAAAAAAACGCTGTGAAAATGCTTTGTTTTCAAACACTTTGAAAATTACATTGAATTTTACATAGCTCACTGTTGTCATCTAATGTCACATGTGTATAATGCACTTTACAACACATCTTTTGTTGGAAGCCACCTGGAGTGGCTGGAGAAATCCAGCCAGATGGGCAGGGTAGAAATAATAAATTATTATTTAAAACATTTTATTTGCAGCTGTGTAGCTGAGTCCTGGGTGTGTGGGGTGTGCAGAGTTCTGAAGAGGACACAGCTGTGGGCAACTCCATCAGATCTTGGTGCCTGACCATAAACACAAGAGTGCTCAGCTGCTTTGTTCTGAGAGATTTCAGGGTTCCATTTGTTTGGTCCCTGAGTCAGAGCCAAGGTGGAATTCTGGGTGAGAGCTAAGAGGTGTTCAGAAGGCATGTTAGAAGGAGAAGGGGTTACCATTAGTACTCAGTTTCAGTACTAACATCAGTATATATTTATTGGTGCATTCCATTGGTGATTTTATTGCATACCTTTGTAATATGCATGGGTTCTTTTAATTGGTTGCATATTGCTTAAACATACTTTATTTGTTAAGTGGTATACAAATGATCTAAATAACAACAGTAACTCCTTTTAAGGGGAGTCTTAAGGAGTAGGTGGCGGATGGAAGGTAGGTAAAAGGTAAAAAGGTACATATCTAAATGGTTTGCAGCACATAACCAAGGGTTTCTGATTCCCAATCATTTAACAATTACAGCAACGAAAAGGCTTTTCTCCACTTCTAAATTAGGTTGCCGAGATGAATAACGTTTGGGGAGGATGAAACAAGAAGTTGATTATTGTGTGACTCGGATCTTTGCGCTCAGTTCTGGTACTGAAAACAAATTCCTGGGCTGAACCTATGCTCAGGGACAGTTTGTTCCTTAATTCTATGTTGCCCCACCCCCACGCACCCACACCATCACCACTGTCTTGCACTTGCATCTTGTTAGTAGACCTTAATGTTCTAGTAAAAAACAAAGCAGAACCTCAAAACGTGGACTTTGCCATCCAAACGTAACCTATAATGTTCCTTTTGCCTATTCTGATCCTGGAAGATTCCTGTATTTTTCTTTTCAATTTTAACCTGGAATCAAACATGACAGGTTATAAGCAACTACATTAGTTAATGTTTTCCGTATTATTTCTGTTTGGCTCTATTCTGTGTGGCACTGTTCATTAATAATCTCCATGCTCTTTCTGCTTGGCTTACAAAGTGAGGCGCACTTAGCAAAACAAAGTCCAAAGTTTCAGGTTTTCAAGCTCAACAAGTTTCTGGTTGTCCTGATTTTTATGGCAACCCTAGAATTCAGGCCGACTCTACTCCATAGCTAGGCTTGCAAATCTTCCTGCTCTTGTTCAAAACTTCCACCAACACCTGCAGTCTGCTCCAAAACCTGCCCTCCCACAGTTTCTTTAAGGTGTACTTTCATTAAAAAATAATCATAAGACTTTATATAATCACAGCATTTTTTATGTGCAAAATTCCTTTTCATCACTGAACTTGGAAAAGGTCTGTGTCATACATAATTCCCACTTTATAAAGACATGTAATGGAGGTTGAAAAGACTGTGATCTGCCCAGGACTATTTTTTCCTGATCTTCAAAGGCACTGTTGCTCTGCTAAAGTATTTCCGTTTATTCTACAGTACAGGACCATTTCACAATTAATTATTTGCTTGGAATGACTATCTCAGGACTCAGCTACATTAGTAAAGAAACAACGATTTGAATGCGCAATAAACATGCAACACCAGATGGCGCCAGAGAGCAGGAAATTTTAAAACATGGCTTTCCATAGAAATTTTTTTTCTTTTGTTAAAACAATCTAATTTCTGACTTACTTATAGCGGGTTTTTTCCGCTGTGTTTAGATCCACCCTCAGACATTTGACAAAGACTAGTATATCATACAGATTGTTTCTCGTTTGCAACTACGTTGCTCCTATAGGACCCTCCTTATTTCTGTAATTTTAAGTTGTGGTTGTTGCTTGTTGGCTGTTGTTGTTGTTTCCATACCACCCTTCATCTGAAGATTACAGGGCAGTTTACAAAACACAAAAATACATACCATAATGGCAAAGAAAAACAATAACCCCCTACAGTTGAGGTATATAGCCTTCCGCAGCCCATGCCACTGAGGCAATCTCTAGCAACAGCAATGGATCCAAAAGTATCCCCCCTCCCCATTACCTGCCCTTTCAGGGGCAAATGAAAGATGTAAAGGAAAAGTGGAGCTGTGTGTCATCAGCATACTGCTGACAAAGTACAGTGGTACCTCGGGTTACAAACACCTCAGGTTACAGAGACTTCGGGTTACAGACTCTGCTAACCCGGAAGTAGTACCTCGGGTTAAGAACTTTACCTCAGGATGAGAACAGAAATTGCACGGCGGCAGCAGGAGGCCCCATTAGCTAAAGTGGTACCTCAGGTTAAGAATGGTTTCAGGTTAAGAACAGACCTCCGGAACGAATTAAGTTTGTAACCAGAGGTACCACTGTAATCCAAACCCCCCTCAGTGGTTTCATGCTTCAGTTATTTTAATTATTGCAACCTGCCCTGGGACCCTGGAGTGAAGGGCGGGTAATAAATTACAATATTAAGAAGAAGAATATAAGAAAGATGCTGATAGTTAGTTAATAGTTAATAGGCAATGGGTCTTACCATAAGGATGCCATTAGTAGCAATGCTCTCAAAGCCCCCACATCTGGGAAAAATATAAAAACATTCAGCAACAAAATGCATGTTACATTTTTAACACGTAGTTAAATATCCTGAAGCCTAATTTTGAATCAACCTTCCAATACATTCATCCGTTGAGTTTTATTCGTCCCTCGGGAGAATCAGCATTTGCTGTTTAACGTAATAGACTAGGCCTTCATAACTTGCAATCCAACCAGGCGTACACAACACCTCAGCAAGAACCTAAAAATTATACTTTGTGAGTGGTTTTGACACTGTGACAGAAGCTGAAGAAAAAAATACTGTGCAGACAAGCTGGGGGGGGGGCAGGTGGAATCGGCATCAGTCCTGGAGAGCCACTGATCTAACTGGACTTGGTATTAGGTGGCTCCCTATGTTCCTGCGTTCTAATAGTATGTCAAACTGCAAACACATAGAAATAAAAAAAATTATATTAGAAGGGTGGATGAGCCCAGGTATTGATTGATTGATTGATTGATTGATTGATTGATAGCTTCCAATTGAGATAATGTCTATTAACTCCATTTTATAATCAGAACAAATTTACTCACATGCTCTCCATCTTGAATTCTACTTCAAGGCTCTCTGGTCCCTATAGGGGAAAGAACAAAAAAGAAACGATGGCATCTGAGACCAGCCCACACAGAGTTTACCACTTGTTACCTGAGGGAACAACTGTTTTAATTGTACGCTAGCCTGAATAAATTATACTTGCTCACTGCATCAGCCCCTTTTTCCCACGGGATGCTTCTGTCTGTCAAATAGGCCAAGTGATACAACCCTCCAAGGCAAACCCTCACAGAAAACTCCACTTGAACAACTGTTCCCAGAACTAAGGTGGAAGAGTAGCCAAAGACTGCTTTTCAGCAACTCAAAATGAAGCAGCCTATGAAATGCATTTTTGGAAAGGGAAGAAAATTATCACGATTGACACTAGCTGCATGTGTCATAGCAGTGTCATAAAACTGTACAGTTTTCCTAATTACTGCCCTCTAATTAAGTAAGAAAGGGTTGTAACTCATTTTTTTGCATGCAAAAGTGAAGCTAATACTGAGCTAGATGGACCAATGGTCTGACTCTGTATAAGGCAGCTTCCTATGTGCCTAGATTAAGCTATCAATTCAGATTACTCTCCCTCACTGCAGGCCACCCAGAAAACGAATAAGGTAAATTAAAATGAATGGAAGATAAAGATGATGCAATTTCAGCTGTCTTCCTAATTAATACTATTCATATGCTGCACTTTTTTTTTTTTTACTATTGTGTAACTGGCTCTGGGACCTTTTGGTGATAAAGGCCCCAAATACATAAATAAAGGATATGTTGTGTCAATTCTCACCTGACGGTTCAAAAGTAAGTCTTCACAAATAGTTTCCCCTGGTCTCACTTTAGCAATATCGTAGGCAACCATGAAGATGAGATCATCTTTGGTGACCATGTCTTCATCGTAGAGCCTCAGTTCCAGCACATTCTGAGCACAGATAGGAAAGGCATGAGAGAAGGCATATAACTCCATTTCACAGCATGCTGTTGAGGATAGGGCAGACTTTCCAATTGTATGTTATTTTAAGGAGTGGCCATTTCTTCCAGAACATGCCAGTCCCACAGAACGTAATGGATATCTCTTAAGCCAGAAAGCACATCTCCAGAATGTTCTCTGCTTTTGAAATTCTGCCCTTGAAACCTTAAATGTGTGAGGCCTCAGCACTGAATGCTTGCACTTCCTCTCTGCTTTCCATTTACCACACACTTCAAATTCACAGAAACCAATCACCAAGAGTATTCTAGTTTAATAGCTGCCTACCTTGGCCTCAGGTTGGATAAAGAAATGGAAGCTTTCATTCCAAACAGGATTACTGGCGTTTGAGATTACTTTCGTCATCATTTGTTTATTTGAAGCTGATGGCAGCCGAAGGCTCACATAACAATCAGAAGAAGTCCCTAGAGCAAAACAAAACCGCATCAATAATCATTATTTCGTGCTTTATTATCATTAGGTAATAATAGGGTTTTGTAGGCTTTTCTGCAGAGGGGAAAATACAGGTTTCCCAGTCTTCTATCCAACACTTTGAAGAACCTTCAAAAGACAACATACTGAAAGAGATGCAGGACAGTGTACATTCTTGTTATAGAGGTTCTGGACTCCCATAAAACTCAAGGTAAATGCAATGCAATGGATTTAACAACTCACTCACATAGGTCTCTTGAAGGTATGTGTCGAGCCTGGATGACTTTCACAGAGAGCAGGTAGAATGGAAATGTTTCAACCTTTACAGAAAACAAATGTTGCTGAATTAATTGTGCAACTTGGGTACTTACATCAAAAAACAAAATATTAGTCATTTCAGTAGAAGGATAGATTGACCATTCCCCCTAGTTAAAAATAAAGATATCTGAAATTCCTATCATTGTACAGAAAAAAAAATACAGAACTATGACTGAGTCTTCCTTACTCTGGTCCAGAAACATTACTATTGTAAAAATATTTGGATACTTCCCCTCCCCCCCCAAAAAAGCTGTGATTATTAAAATCACCTATAAAAATATTTAATTACACACTTCTCTCTCATAGCTTCCATTTCCATCTTCCTTTGTCATTTCAATATTAGCTGTTATTGACCATGTTCCTTAATTGAGAATTCTCTTCAAAAGCACTTAATCTAATTAGCATTGAGTTCTTTAAGTCACACCAATTCCTTCTATCAGTGGCTTTCTTGTGTTGGTCACTAATTATATAGTATGCATTTTGTTATATTCTCCATTGAAGTATTAATTTCAGAACAAGCATCCATGTGACCCGTAACAAATACCACATTTCTGTCATGCCACTACACCTGGTCACTTTCTCGTCACTGATTTCAAATTCTTCATCCGTTCTTATTCTTTTGATTTTCTCGAAGGAGCGCCCAGCTCAAGGTTTATCAGATGACATGTGATCCATTTTCAAATGATTTGTAGGCACCTGAACGTGTTTCTGCAAGTTTGCTCATGGTCTGAAGACATATACGTGACTCAGGATAGTACTGTGACCAAAGGCAGCAACGGGACAGCGTCTATGAGGCTGAATTGATTTGTAGCTTCCATCATTCCATTGGTTTGGTCTTTATGAAGAGCATTGGTAAGAAGATTGCCGTCCATATGGTCTTGCTGTTCTACATTTCACTAAATTTGGACTTTTGATCATGAGAAATATTTTGTGACTTCATTAATACTGGGCAGCGTTTGATGGCATTTAGATCAACAATTATATATTCTAATATCACTCTCTTGAAAATATATTTAAATTAATTCATCTCTTCTAAAGTCAGGTGCCCTTACTTGTTTCTGATTCTTCTTTTTCTTTAGTTTTTTATTTATACATTTCATTAGTTTTACAATCCATTTAAAATTTCAAAACTTGACTTCCTTTCCCCTCTTTCTCTGGTTCCTTATATGTATTTTTAATATCTTCTACATATTCAAATTCATTTAACTTTCTCATTTAATTATCTACTGTAAATATATACTCTTATAAAACTGCAGGTTATTACAATAATCCAGCTAATGTTTTCATCTATTTACAATTTATCTGTAAATATTCAATAAACATTTTCCATTCCTTTATAAAAAGTTTGTTATCTTGATTTCTTATTCTTCCGGTAAGTTTCGCCATTTCTGCATATTCCATAAGTTTTTGTATCCATTCTTCATTTGCTGGGACTTCTGCTTCTTTCCATTTTGGGGCAAGTAACATTCTTGCTGCTGTAGTAGCATATGTAAATAAATTTCTATACAATTTAGGTAGTTCTTTCCCTATAATTCCCAAAAGAAAAGCTTCTGGGGGTTTTTTTTGGGGAGGGGGGTTATACACACCCCTCAATCTGCTACACTAAAAATCTTACATGGCCACTTACGTGTTGTGGAAATTCAGCTTGTCAAGTATTGTGTTTCCTCTGCAGTAAGGAAAATCATGTCCAGCACTAGTAAAGAGTTAAAATATTTGATTAATATTTGATTACCTTAGGCATTAGAATGTCCATTGCATAGATGAGAGGCAGTAGTGATGGGCAGGAATCCAAGTATTCTGCTGTGTTAGGTACCCTCCTAACTTCCTTCTTTTTTTTTATTAAAGAAAATGACTGGTGCCAAAGAGCTAGTGAGATATTATATACACATCCCAAGCTCCACCTTATTTGTGACTCTTCAGAGTAAGAAATGCCATTCTTTTTCTCACATCTTATTTTTTTGAATGGGTGCTCATTTCCCTTAAATACACCCAAGATACATGTCTTGACATTAAGGTGTGGTTGACACAAGCAGAGTCCTATGCTGGGAGAGTAGACTGTACCACTACAGTTCTTCAATCTTTTCCCACAAAAGTCTTTATGAATATACAAAATGTAGCACACTATGGAGAAAAATCCATTCTCTGCTTTGCTAGTTTTATACTTGAACAGATTTTAAACACACACACCCTGTGAACATCCAGCAATTTAACAACTCACTCCTACTGTGTGTTTGGGGCAAGCCTAGATTTTAGCTTCAAATACATGAGAGAACATCAGTTTGCAAGCGGAAGTGTTTTTAGTTCATTCACTTAAGGGAAAGGGCAAATGGCATAAACTGGCCATTTCATACATTGCCACTTCCTTGAACGGCCAAGCTGATGATCAGTTCAAAACTTTGAGTGGAATGAATGGCCCAGATCTGGTTAAAATCCATAGCAGGATCCTCTAAGGATGTTGTACTCATGTCAAAAGCAGGTGCTATGTCAGCTTTTGACATATAAAATGTGTGAGTTTAAAGAGAATAAGAATAATGCACTTTAATACTCCTACATATAACTGGAACAGGAAGGGGGTGTTAGTTTAATAACTGATCCTGATGGTTTTGTTTTAAGTAAGCAAACTTCTTGGCAGAACTCAGTTTCAAGTTAATGTTTAATCTGCAATTTCCCATACGCTTTGGAGGAATCAGAAAAGAAGGGTTCAACATTTATACAGTGTTAAAAACATTCACAGGGGTAATGCATGCTATATATATAAAAGAGCTCTCTGAACATAGTTTTAGATTCTTTATTTATACTCTCTCATTATACACACACCCCAACTCTAGGGGATTTACAAAAATCTTTCAGAAGCAGCAATATCACATTAAACTTCACAAAATCCCTGTGGAGACAGCTCTTTCCACTTTTAATTACATATAAAGAAACGTTATCATTACAAATTGCTTAATGAATAGAGCTATACAAAGCAAAGGAAGAACAGTGACATAATTCAAGAGTGCGGCAATTTTCACGCACTACAGATAAATGGATTGGTAAATGTGGATGGTAAACATGATTATACTTTCTCTGCCAAAAAATCAAAGTACAGGCTAAACCAGAAGTGGAGAACGTGGCTGTGGTCTCCAGGTATTACAATCCTGCTCCCATTACCCCTGGCTGAAGTTCAGCAACATCTGGAGGAGTGCAGGTTCTTGGACTCCTCCTCCAAGACTTACATCTGAGTTGACATGCATAGGATTTCACTTAAAGTTAAGAGGAATATTATTCTCCAGATGTAGCAGTGGCTAAAACAGGGCACCATAAAGTCTATAATCCCAAACCAGCCATTACACCACACTAGCCTTCTGTTAGTTTTATAAATAGTCTCGGCAGTGTAGTTACTCTTTATTTATTTCTAAAACAAACGACTACACTGAAACAAGAGGAAATCATGTTTATTGTTGGTAATTTGTACCATAGTTTGATGACTTCTCCGTTTATCGGTGTTGTTCACTTTTCTCCTAAAATGATTTTCTAGATTAGCTACTGTTTTGTATTCCTAGACTCCAATCGAATACATACTTATCTGGGAATACATCTAATTGAACTCCATGGGGCTTACTTCTGAGAAGACAGGTATCAGATTGAACTATTAACGTGCCCTACCAAATGCCATCCTCTGCACCATTTATTCTATTGACTTTTTTATTGTCATATCAGGAAAATTTTCTCATCGAGCCTCAGCCAGCAATAATGCATTGCATTATCACCACTCCCTTTCGCTGAACAGATCTCTCTGTCAAGCCATTCTCTTACCAGGTACCAACAAGGTGTATGGATGCTACATGCATATTAATGTACTGATTAATTAATTAAGGTTGATCTGAAATATAATAAATGTATTTAGATGTAAGGAAAGCAACAGGTGTGTAAATTTAACAGGCTTTCTCAAAATTTTGCTAAGTGGTAGGGTTCACAAGAAGGTCTGGCTTGATATGAGTAAAGAGATTGATTTCTTTCAAAGACCTTTTTGATGGCATGAGACAGGAGGAAATGAAGCGGCCAGGTGAATGGAGGATACACCCCTGCGGGTGTGCTAGGTATGACCTTTCTCTGCCACATGACCAGGGCACTAGTGCGCTGGTAAACTTGTCATGTCTTTGTTTGGCTGCAAAATGACAAGTTATTTCAAAACTGAGTTCTAAGTTGAAGCTGAATAGATCACACTCATTACACTTATATCCTGACAAAGTGCTCATAGTATCGCTACGTGGTAATGAAGAAAAAAGCACTCCCCCTGCTCTTAAGAGAATTGGAAACTGAAAGGGGCTTATAACTGCCACAGTCAGTTTCTGGAAGAGCCATTGAGGGAAATGTGCTTTCACCAATTCCCTTGGCTGAGGTCTGTTGCGCATTACTAGGGTACCTGGTCATGGCTGAACAGGTAGGCGTCGCACCTGTTCTCGACATCTCAAGTGGGATGTGCACATTAAGAACCAGCTCCTTCACACATGTACAAAACCACAGTCTACAGATTACTTTTAACAGTGGAATCCAGCAGGTGTTGTCTGAAAAAAGCCAGTATCCTCTGCCAGGCATCTTCCTGTGCTTTTGCATGTTCTCTCCATTTTCCTCCCCAGACCACGAGCAATCCCAGCGGCCTGTGAAATGAGGAATAGCACAGAGGCAGATAGGGGGGCTCTAAGAGGTGCCCTGCCCCGGGGTAGCAATAGAACTCCACACGGCGCCCACTCCGCCTGAGGTGTCCAACGGCTTCTCGACAAAACGACTCACTTGGCCAGTTTTTGTCATCCTGCCCTGACAGAAAAAGGAAGTTGGCTAAGGACGTCTCCACAGGGATGCGGCAGTGCCAGGTAGCTGGGTCTTTGGGATCGGCCATGATTTCTGAGAAATCCACAACTCCGGGATCACCGGTGTCCTTAATCTTGTCCAGGTCCCATGGAAAGGCAGGAATAGTGAGCCCCTTCACTCGCAGGGGGATAAAAGCATTAACACCTGAGCCAGAAATGCTGACTGCCGCTCTGATACCTGGCCAAAACGTAGCTAGAGCAAGGGCAAGATCTGCTCCTTTGGAAAGTCCTAGGACTCCAATCGCTGTAGCTCTCACCTGAAACAACAGTTGGATAAGGACTTCCGTCAGCTGCATGTTTGTCAGTTTTATCGCCCTTTTAAAAAGCCTACTGGTTAGAAGGATTTAGCGCTACGCAGTAATGAAGAAAAAAGCACTCCCCCTGCTCTTAAGAGAATTGGAAACTGAAAGGGGCATATAACTGCAGGCATCTACTGAAGACAGTATATTAAGTGTTGAAATAAATAAGTATGTCGTAAGAATTATAACTTGTGAGAACTTGTGCTTGAGCTGGATTTTACCTCTTCCCTCCTGCTCCCTTTTCCTCATGTGTCTTGTCTTTTTAAATGATGAACTTGAGGACATGGAGCCCTCTTAGTACTTGAATTATACTCTTTTAAGCCCTCTTTTAAGCCTCTCTGGGAGCCTTTTGGCATAAATGCATTAAATTAAATAAAACAGCCAGCACACAACACCAAAGAACTGTGATTCTAGCAAGCCTCTTACCTGCTGCTGTTTCCGCAAGAACTCTACAGCCTCACCAAAATAGTCCACTTCAAAGAACTCTGGGAAAGTTGGCAAATCCTCAAAGTGCATGTAAGCAACAGCCAGCGTAGCAAAACCTCGGCTTGCCAGAAGACTGGCTCTGTATTCCACAAGACCTCCTCCACTTCCATACAAATCAATGAGTCCTGGGAACGGTCCAGGGCCTAGAAAAGGAATTTACTCATAAAAAATGGGCTTATGATCAGAGTATGGTATTGTGCAACTCAAGAATCCCCTCTTCCCAAGGGATCTGCTCTCCTCGCTGTCCCACTGCCATTATTAGTGTCACTGGTGGGAGCAATTATTCTTGCCATAACTTGTTTTCAGTGGAGGCTTTTAGACTGCTGCTGTTGACAGCGATGCAGTTTTCATGGTGATGTGTTTATGGCACTATTGTTGTGTTCCGCTCTATTTTATTTTTCTGCTGTGAGTTCTTCTTTATAAGCTGCCTTGAACTTATCATAGAGCAGTGGGCTACAAATGCCCAAATAAAATTTAATGAATCTATTGGGTAGAGCAGAGGTGAGGAAGCTGTGGAACTTGGCAGTCTCCCTCCCCACCATCCTCACAACATCTGGGGAAGAAGTCCAAAGCCTCAAGATAGGGTGGCACAGTGGGTTAGTGCATCTGACTGTTAACCAGAAGGTTGTTGGTTTGAGCCCACCCAGAGGTGGCTGTGGGCAGGATTAGTGCATGACCCTTGGGATCCAATACAACCATCCTATGAACTCCCGAAGCTGGTCGAGGCTCTCTCCGTCGATTATGTATGGGCAGGAAGGGAAGTGCCCGCGCTTCCGAGGTGAGCCATTCAATGCTCATCCGAGGAGCGTGGCAACCTCGTCACCCTCGGGGGGGGGGAGGAATGACGCTCACCGGGTGGCACGAAGAGGGTGGCTCGGAGCCTGCCTTCTCGCACCGGGATCCTCTCCACGCCGTCGGCCAGAAAGCTCCTCTCGCTGCAGCACTCGCCGAGGAGCCGCCCGGAGACTCCGCGCCCGTCCAGCACCTCGTAGGTGACGCGGAAAGGGCTGAGGACGTCCCTCTTGGCCAGGCGCTTGAAGGGCGTCTGGGATGCCAGCGACCACAGCAACCCCATGGGCTCCACGCCGGAGTAGCTGCCGCCCAGTGACGCCGAGCGGCTGAGGTCCAGCTCGCCGCTGCTGCCCGCCCGGTAGTAGGCGAGCGACTGGAAAAGCTCGCCGCTCTCGTCCACCAAGGATGCTCGCAGCGTCACCTCCTGCAGCGGCCCCAGACCCTCGACTTTCACCTGGACCGGCTCGTCCCACAGGCAGCGGGGAGAGGGCAAGACCAGGATCCTCGCCGCCGCCGCCATCGGGTCTGCCTTGCCGGAGGGAGCAGCCTCTTCCCCAAGGCGCCGGCACTTGTTCTTCGAGCAATGCTTTTAGAAAAAGGTAAAACGCGCGCGCCCGGTAACTTTTGCTCCCAGGCTAAAGTCAAGCGGCTCTTTGCAAGCTGCCCACAAAAGGAAGCGGTGTCGCTAGGGCTTCTGGGAAATGTATTTCCTAACTCGCTGGCGGGGACAGACTTTGAGAGGGAGCTGCCCTGAGAAGCGGTACCGCCTGTCAGCTCCATGCGAAAGAAAACGAGTTTGGGCAGGGGATTAGCCCTTGTTTGCTCGTGAGGCGCTTGAACCTGCTTGCCCTTACAAATTGTAACGTAATAATTGGTCTTCTTGACTTCGATGGACACAATAGTGAGCTCTGCAGCTGTCAGGTAATGATAAAGGGACCCCCGACCATGAGGTCCAGTCGTGGTCGACTCTGGGGTTGCGGCGCTCATCTCGCTTTATTGGCCGAGGGAGCCGGTGTACAGCCGGTGTTACTTGCCTTCATTCACATATGGAAAATAAAACCAAGAGATGTACATGGTAACACTTGTCATATTTAACATGGACCAGACCATGATGATCCTGATTCCTTGTGCTAGATGTCTTCCAGCCACATGAAACATATTTAAAGGTAAAGGGACCCCTGACCATTAGGTCCAGTCGTGGCCGACTCTGGGGATGCGGCACTCATCTCACTTTATTGGCCAAGGGAGCCGGCGTACAGCTTCCGGGTCATGTGGCCAGCATGACTAAGCCGCTTCTGGCGAACCACAGCAGCGCACGGAAACGCCGTTTACCTTCCCGCCGGAGCAGTACCTATTTATCTACTCGCACTTTGACGTGTTTTCGAACTGCTAGGTTGGCAGGAGCAGGGACCGAGCGATGGGAGCTCACCCCATTGTGGGGATTCGAACCGCCGACCTTCTGATCGGCAAGTCCTAGGCTCAGTGGTTTAACCAACAGAATTTGGTCAAATAGACGATTCCTTAGCCCAAAGCTTTATATGCCTTGTTGATTAAAGCTAAGGTTTGCTTTTCACATCCTTCGCTCACTTCAAGTTACCAGGACTAAACATCAGGAAGAATTTCCTGGTGGTAAGAGCTATTCAACAGTGGAGCAGACTTCAGAAGGTGGTGGACTCTCCTTCCCTTGGCGGTTTTTAAGCAGAGGTTGGATGGCCATCTGTCATGGATGCTTTAGTTAAGATTCCTGCATTGCAGGGGGTTGGACTAGATGACCCTCAGGGTCCCTTCCAGCTGCATTCTATTTTAGTTGAAGCTTTCAAACAGTTGCAAAGGACAGTTTTACACTGAAAACATGGCAGTCGTCAATCCATGAGGTCACCTTTATTTATTTCCGGGAAAGAGTATAGCCAACAGAATCTTGGTTATGTAAGTGATGAGATGATAAAAGCACTCCTGGTGGCTGCTGCAAACACTTGTGACCACAGGAGTTGACCACATCCTTAACAGGCAAAAAAAGGCCCTTATTAAATAGCAGCCTGCTATCATAATTTCGCTCTTGTATTGATTCAACTTCAGGTTATTAATCCCCATCCAGCCCACTAATAATAATGATGATTTTATTTGTACCCTGCCCATACAGCATATACTGAAACATAATAAAACATCAAAAACTTCCCAATACAGGGCTGCCTTCAGATGTCTTCTAAAGGTTGTATAGTTACTTTTCTGCTTGACATCTGATGGGAGGGTGTTCCATAGGGTAGGCGCCACTACCAAGAAGGCCCTCTGCCTGGTTCCCTGTAATATTCCTCCAGAATATTCATACAGATGATCTAATGTACTGAGGACAAATTAGGGGCCTGTCAATCTCCAGAAATGGACTTTCCACCAGAGGAACTACATCATCGTGAAGCCTGACTGAAACAGATCCAGAAAATGTGCTTCATCCGTGCAGGTGATATTCATCTCATGTGCTTGATCTCAACGGTTACTTAAGGTAAACCACCATATAAGGTGCCATTTTGTCCACAATGCCATGAACATCCACATGATGTTAAGCTTCAGTGACAGCAAAACAATTGTCAGCAGCAAAACAGTTGCCTTTTGTCTTGATTTAATAGGCCATAATTAAATAGTTCGCATTCCAGCCGTAGTTCCACATCAGTAGGTTAGCTGATCCAAGACCCTAAGATTTCCGTGCTATAGCTTTTGTGAGAGAATCCAGCAGCTGATAATAAGAGTATTTTAGATCATATTCCATGTCATACCAATAATTCACTGAGGGGGAGAAAAAAGAAAATGACATAACTTATCATCTGTCTTTGGAAAAACTCATTTTGATAGTTTTCAGCTCAACACAAAAGCTACAAATCTTTCCATTGTTTGCCCCAATCTCAATAAGAAATAGAACTTCACACCTGATTAATACATTACACAGTAGCAATATGATAGCCATTGGAAAATGAAACTATTCAGCCAATTTTAACTATATTATTGTGACCAGCTGAAAAACGGGAATTTTTCTGGCATGGCTGAAATCACCTCAGTGGCTACTGCACTGCTAGTACAGTGGTACCTCGGGTTACATACGCTTCAGGTTACAGACTCCGCTAACCCAGAAATAGTACCTCGGGTTAAGAACTTTGCTTCAGGATGAGAACAGAAATTGTTCTCTGGCGGTGCAGCAGCAGCAGGAGGCCCCATTAGATAAGGGGGTGCTTCAGGTTAAGAACAGTTTCAGGTTAAGAACGGACCTCCGGAACGAATTAAGTACTTAACCCGAGGTACCACTGTATAACATAGAAATTTATCCTCATAAAGGGTGTTATTCAGGATTAGTCCTACTCACAGTAGGCCCATTGAAGTTAATGGACATGACTTAGGTTTATTCATTTCAATAGGTCTACAGAATACAACCGAGAAGATTTTAAGACATCCAAGGGGCTTGGTAGTAGACATGGATTCAAATCACTGAGCAGCTATGCTGTTGCTGGGTGGCCTTGGGCTATTATTTTAGCCTCAGTTTACCATCTGATGACCTTCCACATCGGTGTTCAATTGCATTCCTGGTTGTCCTGGAGCCAAGGTGGAGTGTTGGCTACCTCAAATGAACTGAGTAGATGCCCTACAATGTATCCTGAAATCTTCTGTGAATGTGCAGGAGTTGTTAATAAGCAGATTAATGTGTAAAAATCTGCAAAGGATAGGACATTTTAAAAGCCTCTGACCTAACATGTCAGGTTTATATAACAGACACTTTAAATGCTTTTGCATTTAAAACCCCTTTATAGTAATAAATGAATAAGTAATCCACTTTATTCTCATGTATTTGAATTTTGTTTAGTAGTCCTGGTCTATTAATTAGTGACAGTTACCTTCAGTTGATCAGGGTAAGACAAAACACATTTAACAGTCACTTTGATTTTATTTATTCAGTATCCTAAAAAATATACCTATGGAGGTTTTGGTGAAGTGCAAATTTATGTAATGGCTCTGTTAATAAATTAAAAAGCAGGATAATCATCTTTTTTTTTTTCTACATCAACAACTGGCCCTATTAGTACAATTAATTATTGCCGGGATGCTCTTCTCAGCTCAACACCACAAGGTGGTGCTGATGCATTTTATAGTAACAATTTTGGACATTTTGTAAGGAAACAGAAAGTAAAACAAAGGCACATATTTGATCCACAGTACAGAATCTGCACAAGCCCCATTTGAAATGAATATGCCCTTGTGCAACTTCTACCTGAGTTCACACAAAAGTTGTTGAATTGTGGCCCATGTTGATTAGTAAAAAAGGAGGGAGAGATTTGAATTTTCCAATTGAGGTCCCAAATTATCTTGACACTCTTTAAGCTTCATCTAATCAAACACTACAGCTCGGGTCCCGATTTGCCGTTCCACAAATGCAAAGACTCATTCCATTTACAGAACAGTCTTTGATCCAGATGGGAGGTCTTTCTGATGGGAGGCAATTTTGGCTGACTCTCCTTTCCCCTTGCACCTTCCTGCATCATCTCCCGCTCAACACCTCCCCCACCCTTCCACTAGCAGAAGTGTCCTCAAAGCAGAATTTTGCCCACAAGATCTCCAGATCCAAGCCTATATGTAAAGATAGCTAATTCTGGCTGGAAATGGGATAAATAAATCCAACTGATAGTAGACTGAGGGAACCACAAAACCTATCTTGAAGAAGAAACATGACATGTGAAATTTGGTGTGCTTGTGCATGCCACACTCCTCTCACCTGCTATGCAGCCATGTGACTGCTGAACATGATGGAACCAGAGAGAAGGAAGATACAACATCTCTCCAGACTTCACAGTGCACCGCAAAGGCTTTGCCTGGGCATATTCTGGAAATCGTTCTAGATCTGGATTTAAAGGATCCAATGGAATCCAGGGCACCTATGAGGATGAAAGGTTATGGAACAAAAGAAATGCTCTATTTAACAAGAGAAATTGCTGTATTACTACAGAAATTTCCTTATTTGGTAACAAATACTTGAAAAACATCTAGCAGTGTATTCCCTTCTAACTATTAGGTAACCCAACATTCCATTTTTTTCCATCTCCCTGGAGAGCACCCATCTGTTGCCTAAAGCAAAATCTAAAGATTGGGTGGTGGTGGTGGGTTAGTGACAGGAATACTGGCATGTAAAAATGGATTTGCTAGGGTTGCCATACATCCGGAATTTCTACCCTTATTTGCCAACAGCATTCTTACCCTTTTTAACCAGATTTAATAAAGGGGGTAAATAAATATTCAAAAAAATCAAATAGAGGTGTGCTGTGAAGAAGCCCGACCCAAAAAACAAAACAGGCCTCAACACTTCATTCATTCATTCCCCCTTAGCAGCTGCCCTCAGACAGTAATTAACACAAAAACCATTACCTTCTCTGCAGCTTTGTCATCCACAACTTCAAATGACCCGTTTTCTGCTATGTGGTAGGTTGCTGATGGATACAATTCTGAAATGTGAAGCATGAAAACTGTTGGAAGAGGGCATAGAACAGAGGCAAAGAGAATGTCAATGTTAAGCATTAAAAACAGACTAAAATTATAGGGGTAGAATTTAGTTTAGCCAGGCACTTGTTGGGAACTGGCTTTGAGCATAGTATCTTTTATAAAACCTGAAGACAATCCAGATGTTAACACGACTGGACCTCCCTATGTTTTTACTTTCCTAAAAAATACCCACATATTTGTTGCTGCTACTAGCCACAATGTAGAAAAATTAAACAAGCATTAAAAAAAATAAATCCTCCCATGGTTAGTAGCAACGTCATGGGCAGGGGGTTTAAACGGTGAACTAACCTGAGTGCAAAATATTAGAATCACTTCATCCTGGATTACAATGATTTAAATTGTTACCCCCACCTCAGTTGCTTTTCAAGAAAGGGGCAAAGGCATGGAATCCTCAGGCCCAAGGACCAAATGTGGCCCTCAGAGCTCTCTATCCGGCCATTGGGACTCTCTTTAGGCCACAGTCAAACTCTCCTCAAGCCACTTCTTTTACTGGTCTTGCTTCACACCCAGCTTTTTTCCTGGCTGGAATGAACTCTGATAATACCTCTTGCTTGCCCGGATAGTGGATAGAGATTGGTGTGTGAAGAAACTAGCCTACTGGACAAAGTGAAAATTTATATTCATTGCTCTGCCCACTTACGTTTCTGACCCCCATCCTCCACCCACTGTCATGAGCTGCTGGAAGGGGATGCAGTCCTCTCCAGTTATAAAGGAAATCTGACCCCCTGCTGCATATTAAAATGTTGCCTAAATTCATCCTCCTAATTCTAATTTCTCTCAAAATAACAATAGTATGCATCTTACTTCACCACCCTCTGCTTCTCAGAATACGTACCATATGGGATGAAGGGACGATCACTTGGCGGATGCAGCAGAAAATGTTTCTCTCCAGAGATCACACAGTACAAGTTTTCATAATGGTCTTTATGTACTAAGATTGGAGGGGGGAAATGAAAGGTTGGGGGAAAAGGATAGTTTCTTTATCCTTAATATAGTCAGTGCTAAAAATACTCACAGCAGTATGAAAGCTGTAAGAATCTGCATTTATACCAGCACTAGGTGCGATTGCCTTTCTCTACACACCAAGCACCAAATTTTAGGCATTCGATTTTCCAAACTCTGCTTAAAATCTCTCAAATTGACAGATTGGCACTGAAGCTAGTGGTATGAAGCTCCATGTGGGGAGGAAACATGTGATATGCAGTGATTATAGAGTGCAAAAAGCCCTAGACCTCAGTCTACACTAACTTCAAGGAAAGCCAACTTCAGTATAGCTAGATGTTCAGAAGACACATACAAGTTTTCTAAAGGAATATCTTTGCCCATCCTTGACCTCAAAGCCAATAATAATAATAATAATACATTTATTTCATGGTACATACAAGATGTCACTGCAGCAGATTCTCCCAGCCAGAAATTAACAGCATCAGGCTTCTTTCCTATATGAAAAAGAAAGAAGTAATAAATCTGAGAAAAATAATTTCTGTTGTCTTGTGCTGAAAGATCCCCAGATTAAGACCTTTCTGCTAGATCAGTTTATTATCATCCTTTATTAAGAAACATGGAAGGACAGGCTACTAAAGGCCCACCTACACAATAAAGAACAAGTTTATAATGACAATGAAAGCAGCAGGGGACAATTATATTAATTCAACTCTGGCTTCAGTTTTTCCATCCCAGATAGGAAGCTGAGTCTGAAGCAAAGTTCCCATGTATATAGTGATCACCCTTAAAGAGCAGACATTTGTTTTTTTAAAAAAATTAATTTAAATGCTCATTTACTTTTATCAGTAAAGAACAGGCCTGAAAATTTTGAGATATTTGTGTTTCCATCCTGATTTTGCACTTCCTTGCCATATGAATATCCCTGTATGAGTAGGGTACCCTATCCAAGAATCTGGTACCTACATAAGCAGAAACCTTCTAGTCTTGTCTCAAAAAGGACCCACTGCTCCCAGAGAAAACTTCTTATCTTAAGGAGGCATGCTGTTGCTGTGGTGACAACTGCTGGTGGGGGATGGAAAGTATTCTTCCCTTTGCCTCGTCCTTCCTCCATCCAGCACAAATGATCAGAGACCTCCAAGTCTATTAATCTACAAGTACTGTACATCACAATTTGTACAGCTTAGCATTTGAATGGAAATTGCATGCACAATTACAAAGCCATCAATTCATCTCTCTCTACAAATTCATGAATTATGCAATGTTTCAGAGTATTTCAAGCCAGAATGTGAATTTTTGCTGCAGCATTCATCGTCTTTTCAGGTGGGCAGGCGGCCAATAACAGCAGAAAAGTGCATAACTTGAAACTGCTGGATCAGTTGTAAGCACTGCATTTAAATGGACTGTGCAACACATAGATAAAATTAAGCTTTTGATATTTACCAACGGCCTCACTCATCCATGGTATGTCAGGCTCCACATCTCCCATAAGTTCAGGGAATTCTTCAGTTAAGTTCGAGCACTGCTTTTGCACATAGAACACCCCTGGAGAAGTTACTTTTTTCTCTACAATGTCCAAGAAAGCACTGAAAGGCATGTGTCGTTCCTCTGGCATAACAAACCAGTCCTGATAAACTGCATCAGCATAACCATTTGGAGTTACTGCCACACTCACCAGCTTGGAGTTCATTATTTCCCTGCACCAAAATAAATCAGACATTCACCACTATGCAATAAATTGCAATCTAAATACAGACCTCATGGCTACAACATGCAGCCTAATTTTTGGACTTTAATTTTTTGCCCCTCACATCCCGCCTTCAAACCCCTTGCTTTGTGTAACATCAAGTCTAACGAAGAGCTATGTAGAACTTGAAAGCTTGCTCACTATTTTGTGATATTTTGGTTGGTCCTAATGAACACAAGTGTCCAGCTGTAGATTTTGAATTATTTTCTTTTTTTCTTTGCCTTTTATTGGTCATCCTGGTGTCTAATGACTTAATATTGGTGCCCAGAAATTGGAAATACTTTCCCACCCCTGGTCCCAGTTCCCTCAGGTACAACAGCCTCCCCAAGCTCCTTCAAGAGGAAGACTAGGATACTAATTCAATAAATAAATAAAAATCATAAATAGTAAAACAGCCACAACAGTTCTGACTAAATTTTCCCCTGTGAAGCTGATGACTTCATGGAGGGATTTGTTTTTGCTGGCAACTCTCTTATTAAGAAACATCATCAATAAATTTATTTCCAGTATTTCCATGTTGTGCACTTTATATTTGAAGCTAGGGCCTGCCAGGCAGATTCCTACCTCAGGTAAGCTAATGTCCACTTCTTCAGAGCTGGCCAATGGTTGACTGCATTCCGAATTATACATGGCTTGTTTGGGCAAACCCATTCCCGATAGAACTCCAAGGGGGATGGAAGGCTATCAAGATATGGCACAGAATCTGTGAAACTCAACTCTGTTCAGGCAAAAGAAAAAACGCTTCCGTGAATGATCGTGTTACCGTTTCAAGGACTGGCCTCATTCACATGTCACAGTTAATCTTAACTATGGTTTAAAGGTGAATGCACAACAAGCTGATGCACAGGGCTAAAATTGTGGACACTTCACTCCTCCCCTACTCCTGTTGCTGCCGTGCTGTTGACAGCTAAGCCATGGGTTTGGCTTAAGAGTTACATCTGAATCCAGACTCATGGTTTTGTTTCCTACAAACAAACCATGATTCATAAGCCGAAAACAATAACAACAACAATAATAACAATAAGTTCTTGGTTAGAACTTATTATTTGCTTGGAGCGAAGATCCTGGGCTCTTAAGTTCTCTTAGCCTGCAGCTTATTTTAAGTCACAAAAATGAGACTTTCTCAACAAGCTTCACTTTTCAAAATGTTGGGTTGGGCAAGGTTTGTTGATTATGTCCATGCAGATACCTGTTCAGCTTAGTTTCAGTTTATTTGTTTTGGCAATTAGAGGTAGCATGTGTTTATATGATATATACAACAATTAGGAACCTGGCATCTAGGACTTACTTAAAATATTGGTACAGACATTCAAAGAACAGATACAAGAATCCGTGGACATGCTTAGCCACAAACTTAAAGGCTGCTGCACATGATACACAATAAAAAATTCCATACGGATACACACAACATATCCTGTGGTTTAATGTACTGTGCACACAAGGCCGGCATCAAATACTGGCATCACTGGGCACTTGCTGAGGTCCGTGCCCCAGTAGGGGACCTACTGCCAATCTCCAATGCCTGCTGTCCGAGGAAGAAGTGGAAGGAGCAAGAATACCTAGCAGTCTCCTTTCTCTGGATGGCTTGTGCAGATCTGAGGAAGAGGCAAGCAGTAGCAATAGCAGCATGCTCAGCCACAAAGCCCCACTGAGGGCATCTTACCCCAAAGCCAGCCACATTCTGACATGTGTGCATTCGGCAGGGACCTGTGGCTAGTTATTTGAAATTATCCAAGGGGCTGGGGGTTGGGAGAGGAACTTCAAGTTGACATATGTGCTCAGGGCCGGATTTATGTATAAGCTAAACAAGCTATAGTTTAGGGCCCCACTCTCTTGGGGGCCCCCCAAAAAATTAAAAGGAAAATAAAACCCTGGATGTACATTTCCAAAACAGAAGATAAAAAGCAAATAAAATAAAACCTACATACAGCAACAGTGTTTTGTGTTGTGTAGGCTCCTATGATGTAAGTAATGGGCCCTCAATCATTTTAAGTTAGAGCTTAATAATTATTTCACTATTAATATACTTCTCCTTAATTGTATTTCAGTTCAACAATTACTTTGATAAAATACATATTTTGTTATGTGCAAATGGCTTTAGATACCTATTAGGTCCATAAATTAGGTCTATATAGCATATATTCAACACACAAAAATAGCGACAATTTGTTGTTGACAAAGGACAGCTGGACGTATAATGTTTTAATGTGTTATTAATCTCTTGTTATTATCCTTATCATGGGCCCCTATTACCTTCAGTAGCTTAGGGTCTCATCAAACCTAAATCCGGCCCTGTATGTGCTCTAACACACGTGCAAAACATGTGCTCGACCACTTATGGCCCTTTCCAGACTACTGAAGGCTTGCCCCTGCAACGGGAAGGGGATGCCCCGGATAAGCTCCCGCTTTCCTCACAATCCCTAAAACAGTAAGGGGGGGGTCCGAGTGAGTGCATTTTTTCGGGTCCAGAATATTTCACTTTTGAGAGCTGGGGTAGGAAAATGCAGACACCTCGAGGGGAGCCGTGCGGTTTGAACCTCTGCGAGGTATGGCAAATCAACGCGCCTTTTTCTTTTTTCTTTTCTTTTGCGGGCAAACACCTAAACGGCAGCGGATAACCCGACTGCACTCCGAGATAGAAATCCTGTCAGGGAAGCAACATTAATGCTGCCCGCGAGGAGGGCGATTAACCTCGCCCGCCCATTTCGTCCTCCCCGCTCTCTTCCCCTGCGAAGGGCCATGCAAAGGTCCTCCCTTCCGCCTGGCTCACCCCTTGCCTCGGCCGGGAAAGCCTCCAGGCAGCGCCTCACCGCCCGCAGCGCCTCCCCTTCCGCCATGGCGGGAGCAGCTGCTCCTTCAGCAGCAGCGGCTGCGTCTCGGGCCGCCTGAGCCGCGTTTGGGTCCGGCTTGCGCTCCGCCCTTCTCCGGCTGCCCAAGAAGAGGGCTGGCCTCGCCGGGCGCGGGAGAAACGAGGCCCGCCTTCCTACGGGCGAGCGAGAGGAGAGCTCCGCCTGCCATGTCAAGATAATAAGCTCTCCTGGTTCGGGTTTATGTCAATTCGCTGCTGTCAGTGGCGGTTCTGGCTCTCTTTTCTCATCTAAATTCTACTATAACAAAACAAAAAACTTCATTGATGCATGAGGAGATTTAGTTGTTTCTTGTGGGGTGGTGGTCCAAACTTGGCCAGTCAAGGTTGAGGCCAAAGTTTTTTTATTTTCAAATTTGGCATGAACCTTGGGACATTTTGGTGCTGAAACACCCAGTCAATTATTATTATTTATTGAATTTATATACTGCCCTATACCCGGGGGTCTCGGGGTGGTTCACAGAATAAAATCAAGATATAAAACACCAAAATACCTAATAAAAAATAACATAACCTAATAGCCCTGTCAATCCTCAATCTTCAATCACTGATCAAGAAGGAGCAGGCTAATGGAAACAATTTTTTGTTAAATAATAGAGCACCTATTACTACTGGCCACTGTGTGACTAGAATTTGTGTAAACAAAGCAACGAAAACTGGAGAAAATGGTATTTGTGCCTCTGCCTACTCCTGCCCATGGAAGCTAGTTGTGATTCAGCATTTGTTCTATAGAAAGGCAAGTAATTTTTGCTCTAAAGGCTCTTATAAACTAGTTGGTAGTGAATGCTGAAAGGTTTGTTTTGGAAATATAGAATCTGGCCAATCCAGCATGATCCCACCCCCTGCAAAAAAAACCCCCCATGTTAGCAAAAACTCCTCCAACACAGTGTTTGCTTAGCTGGATCCTGAATGCAGCATTGATCTGACTTGAACACTGCAACATGAATCTGAACAATGCAATGTGTCAAAAGAAATGACAACGCTATTACTACAAAGGGCAAGGGAGAAGGGAAGGCCAGGAGGAGGAAGGGACAGAACTGTTTTGCTATAAGAATGTGAAAACCCTAATAAACTATAAAAATGAATCAAGGCAATAGCACTGAGCAACAGCATGAAGACAGCTTAGTAACAAAAGTTCACACTTTTTTTTATTGAAACTACTTAAGACGCAGAGTACAAATGAATACAGAATTAAAAATAGCCCCAGAAAGGTGGCTCACAGTGCAAAACCCCCACAAACATAAAACAATTGTTTCAAATAATTAAAAAAGAAGACATTTTAAAAGATTTTTTTCCCCCTCTTAAAGCCAAGGTAGAAAACACACATTTATAAATAAAAAGTTTCAGGGTTGTTATCTCCTTTTAAACAAGCGGAGAATAGGAAGGGAGTGTTGAAATAACACAGGTAAAAGGGATGTTTATCTGGTGCCTAGACTTAACTTGGACATGCTGAGTAGACATGGCTTATTCCTTAAATTGCTGCTCCATGCATCACAGTCTGTGATCTACAGCAGATTAACTCAATATGTAAGCAGCCCAGCTCCAGAATATAATATACAAACAATACAGGATTCTGGATACTCTAGTTATTATCTATAGAAAGAGCAATCTAGTCACAACAGTACCTGCCTGAAGGTCCACAAGGCTATTCACCCCTCCAACCGATTTATTTATTTATTTAAAAAAATTAAAAATACTGGATGCTACTGGAGGTCCAGTGGCTTAACTTCTGTGTTGATATGCGACAGCGTTGTTTAAAATGCTCCGATGCATACACTGGCCATAACAGTAACTCTTTTTGCAGAAAGAAATGCATTCCGGATCAGTTGAGCAAAAGAGGAAGCTAATCCTTTCTAACAGGCCCAACTATTAGAGGTGTCACTGAAAAGGATTGGATGAAAAAGGGGGAGAGGGGTTAATAACAAAATGGCCATATATTTGTAGCACCAGTTGCATATACCAATAGCTGGTGTAAACACAATTTTGGCTTTCAAATGTCTCCTATGTTTCTGTAGAAACAACGAGAGGCCATTTTGTCCCATTCAAGTGTACAGGTATTTGTTCTCTTTTCTAAGGACTCTCCTTGAAAAAAGGAAACAGCATACACAAAGAATAAAATGCAAATTACACTGTACAGAAACATTTCAGAAAGCATGGATATAATATGTCAGCATGGCATCAGTGATGAGTTCATGGTACATCCTTTCTCCATTTACCTTAATACATTAATTTGCATGCAAACATTAAAAATCAGTAGAAGTGGGCCAGCTTCAGATACTACATGCATTTCTGTTTCCACAACCCTTAGATTATCTGTTGAAGTTTCCTAATAGGGCCAGAGAACATCTATAATAAAGCCAAATAATTTACATGCAGTTCAAAACTAAAAGTAAAGCAGGCTGACATTTAACGATCAAAGTGTTTTCCTTAAGAGGAAACAGTCTTTCCTCCCGTTTCTTCTCAGCAACAAATCCTTGGGACAGAAAACAAGATAGCTAAGAAGCTAACACGCACCAAATGGTTTCAGACAACTGGCTGGCTGAGGATAGTCACTCCTGAAACCTCCCCAATTCATGGATATAATAGTGGAAATGAAGGGCCCATTAAACTACTTCCTTTCTTTTTTTAAAAAAAGGAAACACCTAACAATTCTCATCTTTTAATTTACCTAAAATTCATTCTCAGTTCTACTTAACTATGTTCTGCCTCTTTCCTATAAAAGCACCATTTCAAAGGAACCATACTCTTAGCTTTGAACCAAAAAGATTCCTTTCCCTACTACTACTTTTCTAGAAATCTTGGCCGTTCTATTCCATGTAATATTAAAAACTACAGGCCTGCCCATACATTCTTGCATACCTACTTACTCAAGACCACAGTACTAGTTCGTTTCTACACCCATTTTCCACCTTGATCCATGAATACAGACAGTGCTCAAGTAATTTGAAGAAAATTATTTTGCAGAAACGTTTTGACAGTAACATTGAACTTTGTTTGATATTGCCTTTCTCCCAAGAGAAACCCAGAGGAATCACCTACTGGGTAACTGTATCAATAAGCATTGAGGTATTTGTCTATCAACATCTTGATTCTGCTGTCACACTAATGCATTTGACAACTCCGGAAGTTAAATCAACACAAAGAACTTCAATATCTCCCTTTCTCATACAAGATGTCTGTGTTGGAAGTATGGCTCTTCTACCCTGAGTATATGTGTGTCTCAGAACAGGAAAATTTCCTGAGCATTGAACACTTTTCACAGCCTAATGTGAACAGGGAAATAAAAGTTATTTTGCCTAAGACCTTTCCTGGCATGTACACTCAGAAACCAAAAAAGCCATCTCAATTTTCAATTAATAGATGTCCAAGGAGTATCTTTCATGTGACCCATCCTATTCCTTTGCCACAGACATTGCTCTATTTCATGCTCGCTCATGGACGGAAAACAGTAATCCCTAATCCCTAATCTTGCAGTTAATTTATGGATGGTTGGCTGTCCAGCCAGCCAAAAAGAGGGCTGCTCTATAATATATTATGAGAGCCAACCAGTCCCAGAAAAGAAGCTACGCTGCAAGGTTCCCAGTCCTACAGTGCAGTGAATGAAAAATCCCACATGAGAAGTGCAAGGGGGAAAGCTGATGAAAAAGACCCAGGTCACCAAAGCAATTTAGTCAGATGATCAGATGGACAATAGTAGATGCAGAACTGCTTTTTGACCAGAGAGAATAGCTCAAAAAATTCAGTAGGATAGCCATTTCTGAAATACTTTTATCAACTAGTACTCTGGGAATATGGTTTGATAATTCAGTAAACAGGAGGAGGGATTTTTAATCTGAGAGCACGGTAAATGAAAGAAGAACCTTCTAGGATAAGCAATCTGAGAGTCAAAGCCGTGGACTAATGAGTTTGGGAAACTATGGCAAGTTTTCATTGAACAGAATAAAACTCCATGCAGTCTCATTCCCACCCCACGGACCTGCTTTGTTTTTAATCACAAAAAGGAAATGAAAATAGTTACATCACAACTGTCTAAATGTTCTGTCCAGTCACATTTAATTGGTAGTTTTCTGGTTTTAGCAATGGAGACATAAAATGGGTCTCCCTCTTGGGATGCTAGATACATCTCATGCTTCACTTGAGCAGTACTTAAAAACGGGTGTCAGGCTCTCTTCACTGACAAATTTCTTTAAATTTATGCTAAAATTAAACTAAAACTTTTTATCTAATAAATGCTATAGCAACCCTGTGTCTCTCCCCCCCCCCCCACCGCCCAAAAACATCATCTGAAGAGCCCAGTATACAACACCAGTTGAACACCACTTCTAATTATAACTTTATAAATAGAATTTAACAATTCTTCAGTTAAAAAAAACTCCTTAATGTAGAGGTCAAGTTTTATATAAAATGTACAGTTCTTGCAAAAGCATTCATGTTTGCAAACAGTCTTGTAACAAATCTCCGTAGCTTGGTCCAAAGGGTGTGCTGTCCTCTGGAAGCAAGTGCAGGTGTAGGTATATAGCATAGGTTTCTCTTTAAAACAGAAGGCAAAACAGGGAGAACAAGACTGTCTTTTTTATAGAAAAGAAAAGAAAAAACCTATGAGTAAAATTCAGCAAGGCAGGCTGCAGCAAAAAGTAGTTCAGAAATTCAGCCTGCCAATCTACTAGTATAGTTATGTTTACTGCAACAAAACGTGTGGGAAAGACATGGAAACAGTCACAGCTACAAAACGCATGTGAAAAGTTTAGAGCAATAGTCACAAAAATAAATTAATAAATAAAATTTTAACACTGTACATAGATCGAGACAGCCCTGCAGAAGGAGTGACTGGTGCCATCTCAGTATTTTTCCACCAAGTTAGCAATTTCAGGCTGAGCCACAGTCAACGGAGTCTGTAGGAATTTTTGTTTTAAGTGTTTTGGCTGGAATAAAGTTTCCAATAAGTTTTTCTTAACACCACCAAAAAAGAAA